CCCCGTGGAGAGGCGGTTGTTTTTTGTCTTTTTTTTGCCCTACACGAGCACGGCAGCACGTGCTCACGTGCTCGTGAGCACGTGAACGTGTAAGCTCACGAGCAGGAGCAAGTGCACCGACGGCGGACGGACATACGGAAATGGCTAACCCCTAAGGAGCTTCGCCCCTGAAAAATATCTGTCGCGGACTCGAATGATACGCAGACGCACCACGTTCCAAACGGCGAGTGACGTTACTTTATTCAGGCCACCGATAATATGTGGAAGCAACAAAAAGAGTGAGGGGACGCTACTTGCAACCTTTACATCTCCTTCTGAAATTGGAAAACAGCGCGCAAAAAGACGAAGACGACGAGAGAAGAGCACAGGACAAGCGCTGACTATCAACTGAAGTTTTATTAAAAAAGGCTCAAGCAAGAAAACACCACACAGTCAACCAACGCCGAAACAACCAATGGCGTGTCGCTCACCAGTCATCTATAAAATCGATCTCTTTTTTGTGAAGATAAACAGAAGGTTGGCTGACGCAGTGCCCCGCGCCAGCTTTTTCGATGGCATGCGCCTCCAGCACCTCTCTTTGCACTTTTGTGCGCCCCCTGCCAATGATTAAGGTATTTTGGAAGACGGCTCGAGCGTTGCTCCGGTGCTATGCGACATTTACCTAGCGAAGTTTGATAGGTCTTTAGAAACGGCATTGTGTCAACAGGTGTGCAAGATATACAGATATGTTGACGATTATCTGGTGTTCTTAAGGAGTGTCGGCAGTTTGTCTTTGCAAAAGGTTGTGGATGATGTAATGACCGTTTTCAAGCGCTGCTCTTCAGGCCTAAAGTTCACTTACGAACTGCAAGACGGTCAGTACTTGCAGTTTTTGGATTTACGGCTGTAATTCACTGGGCAACATGTGTGTTGGCGCTACAACCCGCGAACCAAGAAGGAAATCCTGCCATACGATTCCGCCCACTCCAAACTTGTGAAACGAAATATTGCCACGTCATGCCTCCAAGCTTCACTGTACAGGTCCTGTCACCATGCCATGCTTGACAGCTATGAAGCCCAGGTCAAGCGACTTTTAGGAGCAGGATTTCCTCTTTCTGTTTTGCTTGGTGTCTCTCAGACACTCTTGAAAAAAGTCAAGAGCGGTTCTCAGGAACCAAAAGTAAAGCCTAAACAAAGGCCTCAGGTTGTCCCATACTTACATAAGGTTTCACACAATTTAAAAAAAGTGGCTAACCGGTTCAATGTGCCAATGGTTTTTTCAGCGCCTCAAAAATTAGCACAACTTTGCCCGCGCGTAAACCAGGCAAGCAGTAAAAAGATGTCATGTACTGTTAAGCATGTCAACAAGTTCGTGGATTGCGTTGTGGGTGTCATCTACAAAATTCCATTGTCATGCGGACGGGTTTACATTGGACAATCGGGACGCTGCGTCAACGAGAGAATGCGTGAGCATGCGAATTCCCTGCGGTCAATGACCGGAGGTCACTTGTACGTACATTGCAGAGACTGCCAGTGTCACCCCGTCTTCCAAAATACCTTAATCATTGGCAGGGGGCGCACAAAAGTGCAAAGAGAGGTGCTGGAGGCGCATGCCATCGAAAAAGCTGGCGCGGGGCACTGCGTCAGCCAACCTTCTGTTTATCTTCACAAAAAAGAGATCGATTTTATAGATGACTGGTGAGCGACACGCCATTGGTTGTTTCGGCGTTGGTTGACTGTGTGGTGTTTTCTTGCTTGAGCCTTTTTTAATAAAACTTCAGTTGATAGTCAGCGCTTGTCCTGTGCTCTTCTCTCGTCGTCTTCGTCTTTTTGCGCGCTGTTTTCCAATTTCAGAAGTCATGAACCAACTCGCTTGCATCGCCACCTTAATACAGTTTACATCTCCCCTTCAGGGAATACACGCAAACTTGTCGTCTTCAAAAATTAAGTCTCTCGAGCGTCTTGATGCGTCGCCCGCAGCGAGAAACTCCGCCCTGTCGCTGAGGGCACACTGGTGTCTGCGGCGAAGGCACCCCAGGCGTTCTGACGATGTGCCAAGCACTGGGGATTGCGCCAGAGACTGCGGAGACCGTGGAGTGCTGCAGGGGTTGCGGAGGCGGCGAAGTAGGAGGACCAGGCACTGAAGGCAAGGTCGATGCGGCTGGTGTGTCGGAGACCGCCGAACTAGCAGTTTCCATTGCAGGCTGTGAAGGTGTGAATGAAACTAGATGACGACGGTTTCGCTCAAGTATACCTGTTGGCGTATGTACCATGCACGAGCGAGGTCGTCTTGCTGGCCTCAAGGCACGCGCAGCTCCGGGAACATCCGTGATCCAAACATATTTGCCCGAAGACACCGGACGGAGTGGACGAGTGGCGTGGCGCCTGTTGTAGTCCTGCGCCTGTCGGTGTCGGGCAGACGAGTCTTGCTGGAGGGAAAGCGTCTTTGGAGGCGATTGAGTGATCAGAGCCTCCTCGAGCTTCGGCCCTGTGGTCTGCAGCCGTCTCCACATCAAAATTCGCGCTGGGCTCCATCCACTTACTCCCAGGATCTCGAGATAGACGAGCAGGGCCAGGTAGGGATCCTTCGTCTTGGCCAGAAGGTCCTTCACTGTCTGCTCCATGCGTTAAGCTCTCCATTTGCCTGCGGGTACCGGGAGATTGCTGGATACGTGATGGAAGCCATAAAAAGAAGGAAGGAGGCGAATTCCCTTGAGGATAACTGTGGCCAGTTGTCAGAGACGACGACAGTGGGAATGCCGAAGCGCGTGAAAATACTCTTCATCGAAGCTGTAACAGGCAAGGAAGACGTCGACGACAGAGTAATCACCTATGGGTAGCGCGAGTAGTAGCCTACCATCAGGAGGTAGTGGCGTCCACCTTTCTCAAAAATATCAGCCCCACCCAGAACCAGGAACTGCTTGGAGTCAGGGAGCCCATGAGCGGCTCGTGGCGCAGTATCCGCGTCTGGGCACAGGTCGCGCAGTCAGCCACCAGTTCCAGTTCAGAGTTGAGGGTCGGCCACCACACGGACTCGCGTTCCCGAGCCTTGCAACGGCCAATCCCATGGTGGCCCTGGTGCAGTCTGGCCAGCATGTCACGTCGGAGCACCGCAGGAACCAGGATCCGGTTGTTGTAGAGCAGCAGCCCCTCGCAGACTGTGATGTTGTTCCTCGTGCTCCAAGAGCAACGGAGATGGGCAGGAACTTGCGACGCTCACCGCGGTCACCCACGCTCGCAGAGGCGAGCCAGATCCATGCGGATTCTGTCTAGTTCTTGATGTTTGCGTAGTTGCCCAAGACTCGGAGCAGTGAGGTCTTCCCATCTCTTCACGATGTTGTCCACGAAGCGCTGTAAATCGAGGGAGTCGAGTTGCTAGCTGGAAAACTGTGTAGTAGCTGGAGACCGGGAGAGGATATTGGCGGTGGCGATAAGCTTCCCAGGGACGTAGAGCACACGGAACTGGAAACGAAGGAGCCTCATCCGCAGCCGTTGAATTCTTGGAGGGACGAGGTCCAACTCGGCGTTGCCTAGGAGTGTGACTTGAGGCCTGTGATCAGTTTGGACATCGAACTGGAATCCCCCGCGCGAACTGTTCGGATCGCTCAACTGTCCATGCCACAGCAAGAGCCTCCTTTTCGGTCTGGCTGTACCTGGACTCCGTAGGAGTTAGTGAGCGATTTGCGAATGCTACCGCACATTGCTCTCCGGAGGGTTGTTGCTGCAGCAGAACTGCTGCGAGGCCGTAGGAGCTGGTGCCGGCGAACACGGTCGGGGGGTCGGTAATGTCGTACCGGCCCATGCAGGCGTTGGAGCTAAGCAGCCCTTTCAGTTTCTGGAAAGCTTGCTGCTTTGCAGGACCCCAAACCCATGTACTGGTCTTCTGAAGAAGAGCCCGGAGGGGCGCTGTCGTGTCCGCCAAGTGTGGAAGAAAACGTCCCAAATGGTTGGCCATCCCTAGCAGTCGTCGCACTCCACTGATGTCGGAGGGAGCCTCGAGATCTGGGAGCGTTTCGATCTTCTCCGGATCGGGACTGATGCCTGTTTATAATGCAATTAAATGCAAAGGTGCAAGCGAGGGATTATTTTCGTCATTGATGCCTGTGTCGCTGACCATGACGCTCAAGAACTTGACTTCAAGCGCCGAAAAAACGCGCTTGGAGCGGTTGAGCTTGACCCCGGCTGCGTGGAGACGCTGTAAGACTCTGTTCAGGCGACGGTCGTGCTCAGCCAGAATGCTGCCGAAGACCAAGGTCTCATCGATCATGTTTACCACACCCTCGAGGCCTTCCAGGACGCGGCTCATCTGTCGCTGGAAGTTTTCCGGTGCCAAGCAGATGCCGAAGGCGAGGCGTCGGAAGCAGAGTCGCCCGAAAGGGGTGATGAACCTAGTCAGTTACTGGCAGCTCTCTGCAAGCTTCTCCTGACGGAAGCTCGCCGTTGCGTCGAGTTTCGAGAAAACTTGAGCTTGTCCAAGTTGTCCGAGAGTGTGCTCGACGGAGGGGAGTATGTGCCGCTCTCGCAGGACAACCTGGTTGAGGCGGGTCAGGTCAACGTTGTGGGGATCGAAAAGAGGAAGAATAAAGATGCCTCGTGTGGCAGATCGAACTAGCTCGCGCTCAGGACGAGCGCGAGGTGGAACGGGCGTAGACACCAGTGAAGCGGCTGTCTTTTCTTCAGTCTCCACATTGGCGCCACAGCGTGGGGCCCGAACCCAGATTCCCGTACAGTCAGGTACGTTTAGCAGGCCTTCGCAGTCGCTGCGCCTATACAGACATTGGATTACTTCACCGCCGAGCTTGTTATAGTGACCGTTAAAATGTCAACTTCGCCCCCGCTTACGCGATCCCGTAGCCGCCCCAATGCAGCGAACACAGCTCGTGCTACCGCGACTGGTGATGGAGCGGAGGACTTGCGACCGGGCTCTGATATACCCACAGCAGACTTGGAGGTTCCATTGCCCGCTGAGAGCCTTTCCCCACCGGTGCCGCTTGCACCTCTCGCCGCGTTGGGCCCATTGCCAGAACAAATGGCATTGTTCCTGGCGGAGATGTCGCGGCTCCTGCAGGAACAACGCCGTCCGCTACCACCCTTAGTTCCAACACCTCGGACGGGGACATTGCGTTTACATGCCGAGATTCCGAAATATTCAGGCTACGCAGATAGAAAATCGGTTGCTGATTTTCTTGACGAATTGCGTGAATACCAGGCGGTGTCTGAAATGTCTGAGGTTGAACTTCTATCACGCGTACTGCCGATCGCCCTCACGGGAAGCGCCGCGACATGGCGTCGGAGACAATCACCCTTCTCGACGCTACAAGACTTTTCGGAGCAGTTCAAAAATGAATTTCTGCCTCCCGATTACGGCGCGCGAATGCTCGATGAGCTTAGGGCGCGCACTCAGCACCGCGACGAGTCCCTAGTCGAGTTTGTTCGGGCGCTCCAAACTCTCTATGACAGGGCTGACCCTAGTGCGTCCGACTCAGACAAAGTGTCGCGGGCTATCCGGCAAAGCCACCCGCAGTTTCATCCCTACCTGCGTGGGCGGGTGTTCCGGAGTTTGGACGAGTTGGCCCAAGCAGCCCACCAGATCCAGGCGGACATCCTGGCCGAACTAAGATATCGGCCTCCTCCACCGCCGGAGGCTTGCCTGGAACCGTCCTGCGCTTGGACAGGCACGACCAGGCAATCCATGGACGAGCATGGGTCACGGCCAGTTCTCCCCGGAAGGGTACCCCGAGCGCTGGACCCTTACACCCACGGACTGGGCGATGGTGCTCAAGTCCGCGAGCATGGCCGCCAATACCAAGCCCCATCCAGAGAGCGATACCCAAGGGCCACCTCAGCTACTCTCCGCTGCTTCCGGTGCGGAAGTCTCGGCCACTTTCGCCGGGACTGCACCCGGCGGGTTTCAAACGACAATTCGGGAAACGAGGTAGGCCGCCGATAGCAGGGCCCTGTCTGTCGGTGGCTTCTCCTTGTTACAGGCCCTCGGTCACCCCACCGTCTCGGTTCTTCAGCAGTCTCGGCCCAGCCTCACGAGCAGCCCCGCCGGGGGCCTCCTGTGATGAGCCCGATGTTGCAGCACCTGGTGTGGCGCCCGCTCGAGCGCCCGATGACGCTCCCGCTCCCGGATTACGCGGCGACGCTCTCGCAGGCGCTCGCGGAGATGCCCCAGGTCCCGGCGTGGCGCCCGCTCGAGCGCCCGATGACGCTCCCGCTCACGGATTATGCGGTGACGCTCTCGGCGGCGCTCGCGAAGATGCCTCCGGTAGTACCAGCGCCGGTGCTTTCCCCGAGGCTTCCCACGGAGCGGTTCTCGGTGGCGTCCTGGTCCCCGACGAGACAACTCCGGAGAACAGACGTGACGACAACGGCTGCTCGCAGGAAGTGGCAGCGGCGTGGCCGCCCGTCGTCCACCCACATGCCAGAAAAATGGCTGATGCGACCACACCAGCGCGGCCTTCTGGAAAACCCGTAGACAAGTGTATGGCCCGTGCGGTCCAACCGGAACCCCGTGCCCACTACCGAACGGTGACCTGGGCGGGTCTACGAGACGTGACAATCCTCAGCATTTCATTGATCATGGGAATCCTAGCGACCATGGTATCATGGGTGAGTCGGCTGAAAGTCTATGACAAGCTACTTCGAATTTATAGGTTCCGTCCAGTCACGTACTTTATACCATCCCTTGACGCTATGCGTCACGAAAGTAGAGGTATAACAGAACCCTACATTGTGGTTAACATTGCCGGTCAACAGATCGCAGCTCTCTTGGATACCGGAGCTGCAATTTCACTTTTTGGAGACTTCGTTAGAAAATTGTGCAAAGACCGGAACATCTCAATGCGGCGTTCTCAGAGAGAGCTCCGTACGGCATCTGACCAACTTATCTCCGTCACTGAAGGAGCTCGACTGAAGCTGAGCTTTGATGGGCGACAATGTCGCAGCAGATGCCCTGTCACGAGCACCCCTACCCCCCCGAAAAGCGGATGACACAGCGGAACTCGTCGCTGTTGCTGACGCTGAAGTCTCCTGGGGTCTTTCTGTGAGCCGGGACGAGCTACGAGAAGCCCAGCAAAAAGACGACATGTGCCAAAAGGTATCTCGGTGCTTGACTCAGCCCCATCAAACCGATGGAAACAGGACGTATGGGTCGGTAGACGCATATGTACACAGCGAGGATGGACTCCTCCTTCGCTACATACCGCAGGCAGACGAAGCCGACCCCACAACGTCCCCTTTTCGTGTGGTCGTACCCCGTACATTAAGGCAAACTTTCCTCCGGTATTTTCATGACAGTGCGCTAGCGGGCCACAGTGACGGTCAGAAAACCTACCAAAAACTGTGTCGCGTTGCCACTTGGCCGAGGATGCGCCAGGATGTTCTCCGCTACACACGCAGTTGCCTACGTTGCCAACAAGCCAAACCCAGGGGAGGTAAACCCCCTGGTTTGATGCAGTCAGTGGAAAGTCGTTATCCATGGGAGATTGTTTCATGTGACATAATGGGCCCCTTTCCACGCAGCCCCAAAGGAAACAGGTATCTCCTGGTAGTCACCGACCACTTCTCAAAGTGGGTGGAGCTTCACCCTCTCCGCCAACTGAGTTCCAGGACCATTTGGGACAAATTGAGGGACACCTTCACCCGCTTCGGGTTCTGTTCCCAATTAATTTCCGACAACGCCTGCGCCGAACACTACCCTTACCACCAGAACTGGCGAACATCAGACTCAGCGACGACGAAATGGAACCAACTGATTAGGAAACTCCCTGCCCCCCCCCCCCCCCCCCCCCAAGAGGGGGATGATGTGGGGATCGAAAAGAGGAAGAATAAAGATGCCTCGTGTGGCAGATCGAACTAGCTCGCGCTCAGGACGAGCGCGAGGTGGAACGGGCGTAGACACCAGTGAAGCGGCTGTCTTTTCTTCAGTCTCCACAACGTATATGCGGTAGTCGCCAGAATGCTTCGGAACCACGTACGTCAATACCGAAGCAACCCTCTGTGGGGCCGTCTACACGGCGATAGACCCCATCGGCTTCAAGTTTCGTGAGCTCGAACCGGACAGCTTCATGGAGAGGAAGGGGAATCGTTTTTGGCGTGCTCAATGAAAAGGGCCGTGTCTCGGGTCGGAGACGGATGACGTACTGCTCTCGCAGTTCGCCCAACTTGTCAAAGATGTCTCGAAAAATGAAAGCCGTTTACAAATCCCTGTAACGCCGAATTGGAGCGCAGCTCTTGAGGAGGAGGAGTGAAGGGTACTGAGGGGAGGGTAGACCCCTCCTCCTTCTCCTCCTCCTCCCCTCATTCTTTAATATGCTCCGGGGGGGGGGGTCACGTGACCTCGGGGGGGGGGTGTCACGTGACTTCGGGGAGGGGGGTCACGTGACCTCGGGGAGGCGTGACCTGGGGGTCACGTGACCTTGGGTGTCACATGGGGGTCACCTCAAGGTCACGTGAGCCCCAAGGTGACCCCCACGTGAGGGGTCACGTGACCTTGGAGGTCACGTGACCTGGAGGGGTCACGTGACCTCGGCGGGTCACGTGACAGAGGGGTCACGTGACCTCAGAGGGGTCACGTGACCTGGGGGGTCACGTGGGGGTCACCTTGGGGTCACGTGACCTTGAGATGACCTTGGGAGGGGTCACGTGACCTTGGGGGTCACGTGATCCCAAAATGACCCCACGTGACCCCCAAGCTCACGTGACCTTGGGGGTCACGTGACCTTCAGGGGGTCACGTGGGGTCACGTGACCTTGAGATGACCTTGGGAGGGGTCACGTGACCTTGGGATGACCTTGGTTACGCCGACGCCGACGCCGCTCAAGCCGGGAACGCGCCCCTAAGAGCTGCGCTCTAAAAGAGGCGTGCGCCGCTGTGGCCCTTGGGAGCTGGAGACAGCATCCGCGAATCGGACGACACCCAGGGCCTGGATTGCGGGGAAGCCAAGTAATGGCGTGGTTGATGCTGGCAGTACGTAGATGCGCTGGACTGGTCGTTCCCTTCCACGTGAGAGCGGCGTCTAACGTGCCCAGTACGGTCAACACGTGGTTTCCCGGCCCCTCAGCTGGCCTTCTGCCGGTTGAAGTTTGTGGGCTCTGCGGCCCATCATGGGCCAAAAGAACGTGTGCTCCGCGCCCGGCGCGCAACGTGCGCGCGAGCCACGTTGGAGGCGCGGGGCTCGGCAGTCGGTTGACTGCCACCAGAAAGTAAAGGTGTGTTTTTTCGGAGATCTGCCTCGTTGGTCCTTCTTGCGGGTGAGCAGTAGCACCGAACCCTACATTATTTGGCGCTCCACGCGAGGCCTACTGCTCGCCCGCGGGTTGGACCGCGGGCTTTTAGCCCGTTTTAGGCGTGTTAGCCTGGGTTTTCTTGCTTTTGCCATCCCCGATAGGCCTACGTGGTCGTTCGACTAGGCCTCGGCCACCGGACGCCATCTTTGCCATCGTGGCTTGGACATTGTGAATAGTGTGCATACTGTAGTATATGAAGTGTTTTTTTTTCGTTCTTTTGTGTTCTGTTCTGTTCTGTTTTTGTGTTCGCCTGTTTTTCTGCGGTTGCTTCTGCGATGCAGACCCGCCAAAGAGCCGCCGCAGACCAAGGCGAGACCGGAGGGGTGCCGGACCCGACGTCCATGGACCTGATGGCTCGGGTGGCCAACCTGTGCGACACGGTCGCGCAACGCCTGGTCCTGGCTGACCACGGACCCCAAGGGCAAGGGCCACGACCCCAAGTGCCGGTCCCGTTGTACACGGGCTACGACGACCGGAAGTCCGTGGCCGACTTCCTGGCCGAGCTGGCGGCCTATGAGCTCGCCACGGGAGCCTCGGACGAGTACGTCCTTGCGCGGGTTCTGCCCGTGGCGTTCCAGGCGAGCGCCGCGCGCTGGTGGCGCATCGTGGCCCCTTTCCTCACCTGGGAAGACTTTCGGCGGAAGTTTCAAGAAGAATTTCTTCCACCTGGGTACCAGTCTCGAGTCCAGCGAGAACTGGAGCGCCGGACCCAGCACCCGGACGAGACCCTCGTCGAATATGTACGGGTGATGCAGGAACTCTATGACAGAGCCTACCCAACGACGTCGGAGTCGGACAGGGTTGCTCGGGTGATGCAGCAGAGCCACCCAAGATTCCGGCCCTACCTGCATGGCCGCACGTATTCCACCCTGGAGCAACTGGCCCGGGACGCTCACGGCATACAAGAGACGCTCCTGGCCGAGCTGCAGTATCGGCCCCCGCCACCACCTGAAGAAGCTCTTGAGCCGTCCTGTGCCTGGCGAGCTCCCGGGCCCAGAAGAGGTCCGACTCAGCGCCAAACCCTGGATGGCGCGGTCTGTCCCCCCCGTGCGCTGGACTCCTACGCCTTCGGGCAATGGGAGCGCGGGAAACCACTCGATGGTTCGGACCCCCGGCTATGTGCCCGGCCGGCTGGATCGAGACTACGGCAGGGTGAAAGCCGTTTAAGGTCCTTCCCCCGCAATGCCAACCGGGGCGCCGATCGCTGGTCCAACGAGGGACACCAAGAAGGGCCGCAACGACAAGCGCAGGCAAGCCAGACGCACGGCCCTGACCGGCGCAACTCGGTGCGGTGCTTCGGCTGCGGTCGCCATGGCCACTTCCGGCGTGACTGCCCCGACCTACTGCGCAACAGCAATGCAGCCTCGGGAAACGAGTACGGCCGGTGGCGTTGACCCCTGAACGCCTGCCGGCCGCGATGACCATGGACAACTCGGCAAAACTTCCATCGGTATGTCGAATTCAGCCTGACCTTGAGCTAATTGAGCCTCGTATGACAGTTACAGTGCTCGGAGTAGCTGTGGCAGCGCTGATTGATACCGGTGCGAGTCTGTCGCTTATTGGGGACTACCTGATTGAACGCTGCAAAGAGCAGAAAGCTAACCTGCGCGAGACTAACGTGCGCTTACAGCTAGCGTCAGGACCAGAAATGCTCGCGAGTCAAGCCGTGAGGTTACAGATCGGGTTCAACGAGAAAAAAACGGCGTCAGCGCTTCGTTTGCTTACCTGGTCTCACGGTACCGATTATTTTGGGGCGAGATTTTATTTTCGGGGAGAACCTGGTTCTGGACTTTCCGAACAAAGGCTACCGGTTGGGTAGTGAGGCGCAACTGATCCCATTTACTAGACGAGAGGATTGTGTCGTCAGTGTCGATAACGTTGGCGCTAGAACGCCTGCTCTGCGACTCCCATGTGCGGTAAGCGATTCTTTGCAGAAGTGTCCTGCTACGGACCAGCAAAAGCGGCGTCTCCAAAAACTCCTTGAGGAGTTTTCGCCGATGTTCACGGAGAACCCCGGCAGAACCGGTGTCCTAAAGCATTCAATTGACACCGGGAATACACGGCCTCTACGCTGCAACCCTCGACCTATCAGCGTACACAAGCGAGCCCTGCTGGACAAGGCGCTCCAAGAGATGATCGACACGGGTGCAGTACGTGAGTCACAGAGCCCTTGGGCCTTCCCGATCGTCCTTGCCCCCAAGAAGGATGGAACGGCTCGGCTTTGCGTCGACTACCGGCGCCTGAATGCGGTAACCGTTCGTGACGCTTACCCGTACCCCTTGATTGAGTCGATCATGTACAACTTGGGAAACGCGAGTTTTTTCACGACTCTTGACTGCAGTCGCGGTTTCCTCCAGATAGAGGTCGAGCCCGCTGACATTGAGAAAACAGCATTCACATGCTACAGAGGGTTGTACGAGTTTGTGCGCATGCCTTTCGGCTTGAGCAACTCTCCTGCCACATTCCAGCGTCTTATGGACATTGTGCTTGGAGACGCACGGCACAACTACGCCATGGCATATATGGATGACGTAGTAGTCTTTTCACGCACGTTTGAAAAACATCTTGTGCACCTTCGGACTATTCTCGAACGCAAGCAGAATGCTGGTTTGACAGTTCACCCGGGAAAAATGCAACTGGCAACATCTAAGATTAACCTGCTCGGTTTTGTAATCGACGATGGATCGCTTCGCCCTAATGAGGACAAGCTGAGGGCCATAACTGAGTTTCCTCCCCCACATGATGCAAAGAGTTTGCAAAGATTTCTTGGCATGGTTGGATTCTACCGCCAGTTTATTCCCCACTATGCAGAGATAACGCGGCCTCTGAACGAACTGCTGCGCAAAGGCGTCAAATGGCGTTGGACGGAGGCACAGCAAAATGCTTTCCTTCAACTGTCCAGAGCTATTGCTGAGAGAGCATCTTTGAAGCTCCCAGACCTCAACCGTCCGTTTGTGCTGCAAACCGATGCGAGCGGCTACGGTTTAGGTGCTGTGCTGCTACAAGACTTTGATGGTGTCTTACGACCCGTAGCGTTTGCTAGCCATACGTTGACAGCAGCTCAGCGGAATTACAACGTTTGCGAGCTTGAGTGCCTAGCCATCATATTCGCCCTGCAGAAATTCAACATGTATCTTGATGGCGCGCGCTTTGTGATCCAGTCGGATAATGCCGCCTTGTCTTGGCTTCAGCGGCTGGAAAATCCGGCAGGACGATTAGCACGCTGGGCACTAACGCTTCAGAAATATGACTACACTATTGTGCACAAGCCAGGCTCACAAAACAAAGTTGCAGACGCTTTATCCCGCGCTCCGCTCGGCGAAGAGCACGTGCCCGAGGATGCCAATGTTGTGGCTGTGATAGATGCTGGCTCGCGCTGGGGTACTTTGATTAGCCGAGATGAGCTTCGTGCTGCACAGCAGAACGATGGACTTTGTCGCAGGGTCTCTGAGTGGTTATCTTCACGAGACTGACGTGGCAACAGAGACGCTGACATGGGTTTTGACTCGTACTTGCTGGCCGAAGATGGTCTGCTCCTCCGGTACATACCTCAGATCGACGACGAGGAGGGTGGCTCCACAGACACTCCATTTCGAGCCGTGATACCTCGCCGACTTCGCACGTCCTTCATTAGATACTACCATGACTCTGCTTTGGCTGGTCACAGTAGTGGCTGCAAGACTTTTGAAAAGTTAAGCCGTACTGCAACTTGGCCAGGAATTCGTCAGGACGTGCTGAGGTACGCTCATTCATGCCCGGTTTGTCAGAAAGCCAAACCGCGCGGTGGTAAGCCCCCTGGTCTAATGCAGCCAATCGTGAGTCGGTCCCCATGGGAATGCGTTGCTGTCGACGTCATGGGCCCTTTCCCACGCAGTCCGCGTGGCAACCAGTACTTGTTGGTTGTCACGGATCACTTTAGCAAGTGGGTGGAGCTATTTGCATTACGGTCGCTGACGTCCAAAAGAATCTGGTCGTGTCTGATGGAGACGTTCACACGCTTCGGATATCCGGCGAAATTGATTAGCGACAACGCTACTTACTTTGCCAGCAAAGTGTTCCGAGACTCATGTGCCGCATTGGGCATACAACACAAGCGGACGTCTCCCTATCACCCACAGGCAAACATCACAGAGCGGGTGAACCGAAACCTGAAATCAATGTTAATAGCTCACACCGAACGTCACTCTCACTGGGACGCAAAGCTCTCAGAGCTCGCGTTCGCAACACGCACAACCGCTAACCGGTCTACAGGTTTTACGCCAGCTTGCCTTAATTTCGGAAGAGAGCTGACTTTCCCGCTGGAAAACACTTGCACGACCAACAACCGTGGCGCTGCTCGCTCATACGGTCAGTTTGCAGGAAGCCTACGACGCAGACTCAGGGACATCGTTCGTGATGCCCGGGAGAGCTTGGACGCCGCACGGCTTCAGCAGGCTGAGCAGTACAATCGTGGCCACCGGGACGTGCAATTACAAGTTGGAGATCTTGTACTCCGGCGGACACACCCACTTAGTGACGCCTCCAGAGGTTTCACAGCTTCCCTGGCGAACCGGTGGGATGGTCCGTATCGAGTGCGAAACAAGGCCTCACGCCTTACGTACACGCTTGTTCATTGTGAGTCTGGTCGACACGCCGGACCTGTTCCTGTCACCAACCTCAAACGGTATTATGAATTGGATGACGAACTTCTCTCGCAGGTGGAGAGTGATGCCGATCCGGGTTATACTTAATTCTGCGAGGACTATACCTGATGTTGGTGACGAAGACGAAGATCTAAGAAGATGCGCGTTGCAATAGACTTGAGCGAGAACTAGTGCTCTCCCGACTGAATTTCCGCGGGGTTTTGTGTGATGGACGCGCAGACGCGGATAGTATCCTCGCAAATTTAACTTGTCTATTGCCGCGCCCAACGTTATGAACGCTTTCTCGTAAAAGAAACCCCGGTAGAAGACCACTCACGGGCCCCTTTTTTTTTTGTTTCTCTCTGCTCTCCAAGATGCCTCGCTACCACCGACGGAGACGCTCAGCTTCCCCCCCCCCACCGCCACCACCACCCTGGGGACACCACGGCCGTCGCCCTCCGGCTCCGGGACAACATCGCCGCCGGCCCTTCTACCGACGCCGGGGAAACTCCGCAACCTGGACCGTGCTGGGCCCCCAGGGCCTAGCCATCTCATGGACCTCGAACCTGCCCTGGGAGGTCCAGCCCCGGCCCCTGACCACGGACCCCCCGGCCGAAGTCCCGGAGCCGTTTCGGGGAAACACCCTTACCGACCGCCATCCCAACGACCCGGTGCAGTTCTACGATGAGGAGGAGCGCCGGCTCCTGTGCCCCCTCTGTGGGGTGCCTGAGATCCACAGGGGCCCCCACCAGGCCGGCGCTCTCCACCGGGCCCGGGAGTCGGCCGCCGCCGCCAGGGCAGCCGTCTTGCGCCTAGCGGCCATAGACGAACACAACCTCCAGCGGGCCCTGGCGGTCGTCCGGCGCCTAAGACCCGCCCTCCACCGCCCCCCCCTCGCCGGCCGACATCGCAATTAACATTGACGAAAACGAAGAACCCTTCTAACCACCCCGTCAACTCCAACGAACTCGGGGGGGGGGGGGGGGGGGGGAGTTTGTGGGCTCTGCGGCCCATCATGGGCCAAAAGAACGTGTGCTTCGCGCCCGGCGCGCAACGTGCGCGCGAGCCACGTTGGAGGCGCGGGGCTCGGCAGTCTGTTGACTGCCACCAGAAAGTAAAGGTGTGTTTTTTTCGGAGATCTGCCTCGTTGGTCCTTCTTGCGGGTGAGCAGTAGCACCGAACCCTACAAGTTGTAGAGGGAGGCCTGAAAAAGTCTCGAGTAGGGCAGTGACTTCGGCGCCGGTGTCGATCTTGAAGTTCACGGAGTGACCGTCAACGAAGACTTGCGTAAACTTGGCTAAGGGGCGCGGCGTCAACGCGTGCAGCTGAAGAGAGCCAAGTCAGTCCCGCTGCTCGCAAACTGCTGCGAAGTGACCTTTCCGTTTGGAGCGGCTGCAAATGGAGTCCCGTGCCGGGCAGCTCGCACGGGGATGAGCGGTGCGCAGTCGCGTCACAAGGGGGGGCGGACCGCCCGGGGTGCAGCGCTTAGGGGGGTGTCACGCGAGAGGGGTGGGGGTGTCGCGGCGGGCTGCCGCCCCGCGTGCCTCTGACCCTCGTAACGCCACTGGTGGTGCGGCCGCAGAGACGGCAAGGGTTGTTGCCGTCGTTCTTGTTACCAGCTCCGTGCTTCCCAGTGCGTGTGCTCTTTCGCCGTTGGTTTTTCCAGGAGCGCTGTCGACCCTCGGAGTCCTTCTTGCGCGTCTCGGCGGCCACGGCAAAGAACGTGTCACGTGCACACCCGACGTCCTCGTGGACACGAGCCTGGAGGAGGG